CAAGTTGAAATGACATGATCTGATAGTCAGAACAGCACATTTCTTTTATTTGGTACCGGTTGGTTTATCTGAGCATCATCAGAGAGTGAACTGTTCTAAGCAAAATAATTTCCCAATGAAAATCCTTCTAAAATACCCTCCTCTGCCATCTTACACAGACGACAAAAGACGGGGTTTAGTCTTTCTGATGGCTCTGGGACATCGTTATGAACAGGAACCACAGTGCTGTCTTCAAAGACCTCTGACCTAAGTCAGGCTTTCAGTCCTATTGCCAAACGCCCACAGAAGGGCTCTGGAATTCCTCTTTCTCCTTGTGGACCGCTGCATACACTTGCCACCTTGCACCTAGGCTCTGGGCCTCTGCCTCTGATCTTGCAGCCTAAGGGCTCCGGCCAACTGGGAGAGCAGTGCGGGCCCTGGGGTAGCTACTTTCTTGTCCTCGAGACTTTTAAAAATGTTGCTTACAATCAGGTCCCAGCTGTGTTTTCCGTGGTCACAAATGCTATGATTGTACCTACGCTCAACTGTATCCATTGAACAACTTTTTATAGAGCCAAGACTCTGTGCTCCGAGAGGAGAAGTGCTGCCCGCCCCTTCACACAGCCATACCCACCCTGGCCCCTCTCACACGGTGCTTGGTGAGCCTGGGAGCCGGAGGGGGATCTGGTTATATGCAGATTCTGGATGGGGCCTGCGGGTCTGTGTTTCCAACAAGTTCCCGGGGGAGGCCGCTGCTGGTGCCCAGATCAGGTCCCAGAGTAGCAAGGCTTCCGTGCAGAAGAAACAGATCCAGACGCCCCGGGGCAGGCAGGCCAGGCAGCCGTGTGGCGCCCAGGCAGGCAGAGGTGCCGGGAAGAGGTGGGAACCCCTCCCTGCCCCAGCTAACGTGTCTACAGAAGCAGAGTCGGCATGGAAGAAACACATCTGCAGGCTGCACTCAGCCCTCCACGTCTGGTAGCGGCCTGCCGGGGAGTTGGGCATCTCAGGCGCTTTGTGGGTAAACGACCCGGGTCACACGCGAGTCCTTCCACCGCCGCCCAGAGAGCAGGTGACCAGCCGTGGCCGAATGCCTGACAGGAGCCGGGAGCGGGTCCGTTGTGGAGAACTGTGCAGCACTGGCTCAGGCGCTCCCTGAAGCCATGAACTTGGGGAGGAGGGAAAGGGCGGCAGCATCCTCATATTTAAGTGCCCACACCGGTCTGTTCATTGTACGCGATTTCCTTTCACCTTCCCCGTCTTGCGGAGTGCGGCGTCAGCCTCATTTTACAGATGAGGAAACTGGATTTCAAGAGGTTTACTAACTTGGTCACCTGACCCAGCTACTCGTTGGTGACGTGAGGACTCAGAGCTTCGAAGCCCTCTTCGGATAATGCAGCAGGTCGGGTGTCTGCATATGCTGGGCACACTCATTAGCTCTGATCTCACAGAGCCCCGCGAGGTCTGTGCAATTTTTCCTGTCCACAGATGGGTATACTGAGGCTCAGCGGCTGAGTAACCAGCCCAGGCCACACGGCGGTGGAGCCAGGAGGCAACTGAACACAGTCCTCCACGCTGTGCTGCGGGAAAAGGCTCGGGTCAACTGGTATCCAGCCTCAAGCCCTAGAAGGGGCCTGAGTATGGGGAGGGGTTGCCAGAAGTGGAATTCCAGTACCCTATCTCTTTAATTGTCGCGATCAGGACGTGGCCGTCCTCAAGCTGGTAAGACACTGCCATCCCCGTACTTGCCCCCAGCCCGCTGGGACGCGTCCCGTGTCCTTCTAACACTGGCAGTCACAAATACGAGGGCTGTGGCCCAGAATGTGTGCCTGCCTGTCAGAGCCTACTGGGCTGCCCATCAGCGCAGGACTCTGTGGCTATTGGGAGCATGGGATTTAATTTCTTCCCGCTCGTCTCATCCCTGAAAAGTTTGCAGTGTGCTAGGAGAGGAGTCGCAAGAAGCACAAATTTCCAAAATAACTTCGGCTTTTTGTTGAATTCAGGACGTACAAGAAATTCTTTTTATAATCAGGCATAAAATGTCTAGGGCTTATGATTTCTTTACGATTGATGAAGTGGCATAGCCTTGAGCTCTCCCTGGCAACACACATATGCGTGCACACAGGTGCACACACACATACATGCACATGCACCCAGGTGCACATCTGCTGAGAACAAGACTTCTTCCAATTACCCTTGGGAATCTGGGCTGGTCACCGGGGGCTCCTCCCTCCGTGAGAGTGCAGTGAGGGCCAGGAGCTCTGGCTGGCTGGGCACCTGTGCTCAGGCTGCCCGTGAGAGCCGGAGGGAGGTAGACGAGACGGCGGGGAAGATGGAGTCTTCGAGCCACAGGTTCCAATGGCAGGTGTCCCAGAACTTGGAGACTGGAGAAGATTTTGTTCAGCTCAGCAAATGTCTCCCCAGGGAAAAACTTCCCCAAGCTTGATTTAATACTGACCCCAAACGACTTGAATCAGACATGCAAGAGTTACAGCTATACGAGAGCAGTTGGGATTATAATACGCTTACAGAAGAAGGAAACAAGCTCAATTTGGGGGTCACTGGCCTCCTCCTCCATACCCGCTTCATGATTTGGCACATGGATTATGTTCTGCTGCCTCCTCCCGGCCTGCAAGCCCCATGCTCTCCTCAAAGTGCTCGGTAGACACTGGGCAGCTCCTGGCTCCCAGAGCCCACAGAGGTTTTTCATCTTGGGGGGCTGTGCTGAGTGACTCCTCGGGTGCTCCCAGGCTGTTGTCCCACCTGCTGCAGGCCCCACATGTCAGCGGAGGGCTCCTCAGTGCAGCCTGTGGCCAGGAGCTTTCAGAGATGGCGCTCTGTTCTTCGAAACTGTCTTCTGTCTCCTTCCCACTTGCCCTCCAGAGAGACTGAGTGTGGGCATCGTTTTGGGTTGAGGGTTAGAGCTCAGAAGCATTCTATGTTTTCTTGTCAGTCACTCCTTGTCCTCTGGCTCCACTAGGGTTATTATGAAAGGTTGGTGCCTCAGTTTCCAGGCGGCCCCAGCTGGAGTCTTCCTCCTACCCTTGCTTCCACTCCAGGCAGATTCCCCAGGCCAGAGTCTCCTGCCCTGGGGGCCCAAGGGACGAACTGAAGGACTTGGGACAGCAAAGGGGACTCAGGCCGTGCTGGTGTTTGCATGGAGCATTCAAGTTGGAAGGCTCCTAAAAGCACACCTCGTTTTGGCCTCTCATTTTACAGAAAAGGCTTTGAGGGGCTGCTCCTGGGGCAAGTGGATGTGAGAGCCTTGGAATTCACTCTCGGCTTGCTCGCCTTCCCACTTCTGGGACTTGGCTTAGGTACCTTCTGAGCCCGGGGTTCCCTCAACCAGGCGATGAGCATAACACCTACCTCTTAAGTTCCTTGTGAGGTCAAGTAAGGTCATCCAGGCCTTCCACGTGGGAGAATTTAGTTGGGGGGGTGTTCAGTTAATGTTAGTGCTTCTATTTCTGTCCCCCCTAATCTTTTCTTTATGGTACCTAGTTCACCAAATGGACCTTTTCCCCCACTAGGCTATGAATTCCGGGAGGTCAGGAACCCCGTTCAAGTCTTGGGTTTCTCAGCACCTATGACAGTGCCTGGCATTGACCCATGTAATTTCAAATTGACCAGTGTTAGGCAGGGTTTCCAGACTCCCCGAGCTCAGACCCCGCCCCCCGGGAGCGGAGAGGCCTGCCCTCAGAGGGCCCCTCACAGCCCGCATGGCTGGGATTCCTCAGCCAGGTTCACAGAAAGACAGGAGCCGTGGGGAGATTTCTGGGACTTTTATTTTTACTCTTTATATTTTCAAAGCCAGGAAAGATGGGCAAATGCTTCGTCCCATTTGGGCTGCATTCCTCTAGCCAGCCCTCGCCCGCCTCCCCCACCCCTCCCACCTGCCCACCTCTACGAGTCACCTGGGCTGAAAAATGCCACCCCACCAGTGCCAGGCTGCGGCAGTCTAAGGAAAGGAAGGGCGGGGGTGGGGGGGGCCTCCCCCTTCCTGTGTGGGCACCCCATTTGGAGAACCCCAGTTGGAGGTCCCCGCTGGGGCCTCCCCACTTCCGGTGTGGGCACCCCAGTCTGAGGTCCCCTCTCTCCGGGTGATCTTGTCCTTGTATCAGCACCAAGGGAAACCCAGGTGGGCGGCTCTGGGTGTAGCAGCATCGGCCCCTGGGATTCTCTCATCTTTTCTCTGCCTCTGCCTCCAACCTCCCTCTTTCCCAGCCAGGTGGAGTTGGGTGGCGGAGGGGGGGGGCGGGTCTTGTCTCTTCCTATTCTGGGGGAACCCCCGCTGACGGCAGAGTGGAGAAAGGAGGCCAGGAGGACTTGGCCCTCCAGGGGTGTGATCCTGGAGTTAGGGTGTCAGGAGCGTTTCTCCTTCGCTGGGACCCACTTCCCCTCCCTGAGGTGGATTTCCTCCAGCCGGGGTTCTGTAGTTAGTTCTGGCCCCTCCAGTGGGATCCTTCCTGCGCCCGGGTCAGAGAAGGGTACCTGGACATGCCCTCGTTTCTCCTGCAGTCAGCCAGGAGCCCACCTGGATCCAGCACCCCGGTCTCCCAGCTCCCAGAGCAGAAGGCCGACCTCTGCCCCGGCCAACTAGCTCCGTGGGGTGGGGCCCCCCTGCAACAGCTGGCTCACAGTGGCACGTCCGGGACGCCACAGCCACTTTCCTGGTCGCAGAGCCTGGTCATTTTCATCTACCTGGGCACTCAGGCGTTTGCGGAGCGGGCAGGGCCAGGCCTGGGCCCCAGAGGCGCGGGACGGCCGACGGGGTGCCCGGTCTCAGGCAGCGAGGGGCCGTCCCTCCCTGCTCCCTCCTCCCTCCTCCCTCCTCCCTCCTCCCTCAGCTGGGCTGGCCCCTCCGCCGCCGCCGCCGCCCCTTGGCCTCCTCCCTCTCGCCCTCCCCCTCCCTCCCCCTCCTCCTCCTCGGGTGGGGCGGGGGGGGGACCCGGACCCCCGGGCGGGGCAGGGGAGGGGCCGCAGGCGGGGCGGGGCGCGGCGGGGACGGGGGACGGGGGCGGGCGTCAGACGCTGTGCGCGCCCAGGCTGAGCACCGAGAAGGCGGCGCGGTGCTTGCGGAGTAGCAGGCGGATCTTCTCGTCGTCCGAGTCGGGGTCCAGCGGCTTGTTGTACTCGTCGTCCTCGTTCTCCGAGGCCGCGCGCTCCCCGCCCGCGCCCGCGCCCGCGCCGCCCGGGGCCCGGGGCGTGGAGGACGACGGCTCCAGGGCGCTCTTCTTTCGCCACTTGGTCCTTCGGTTCTGGAACCACACCTGGGTGGGAAGGGAGCTGAGGCTCGTGCGCACACCGCACACACAGGGCCCCCCTTCAGGAGGGTGACTCCACTGGGCGGCAAGGACCCTCGATCCTTATTTTTCTAGTAAAATAAATGGCTCAGTGATAGACCAGGTTGTAATATTCACACCGTTTGGGCGGCGGGGGGGGGGGGGTAAAATAGAAACGAATGCGTGTAAGTGAAGCAGCCCTTTCTGCTTAGCTATAAGGCCTCCTTGCGGTGGATCTTCTCTTTTGCCACCTGGGGCACTTGGATGGAAGATGCTGGAATGCCCCGTGAGGGCACTCAGGAGGTGCTCAAGAGTTGTCCCTTCTTTAGCTTCATGGACCTTCACTGCACTTCATGAATAATTTCCCCCTAATTATAAAAATAACATATTTACATTGCTTAAGATAGTTGATGAATGCAGAGAAGTACCTAAAGAGGCAGAAAAATAGGTAAGAAGGCCCGGACACGCCCCCCACTTCCATTCAGCAGACCTGGAAGCTACAGAGGTAGGTGGCTGGTGATGCCAGCGGAGGCCAGCCGTGGGTCCCAGCCCGCCCCTGTTGCTTGCCTCTTCTACCCTTAAACCTGTCAACATGTCACAGAGCTGGGCAGTTCGGGCATAGCTTTCTTCTGCCCCCCCCCCGCCAAAGTCTCTCAGGAGAGATCTGGCATCGCCGTGGCCTCTGGGAGCCTGGAGGGAGAAGCCTGTTCACTGACTGCAGGCTGGGTGACAGGCAGCGTGAGCATGGCCCTTGCATGCCGCTTGGAGGCTGCCTGCCCCGCATATCCCGTCCGAGCTTCATTTGGGGTGGACTTGGAAGGAGGTGTTATCTTCACCTTATTGGCAAACCAAGGCCGGCTCCTCCTGCCAGGTGAAGCAACAAGCCTATAAATCCAGTTCTAACGTGGCCCCGAGACTGCCTCCTGATCTGGGCCAGAGGCTGCCAGCAGCCCTGGAAATTTCTGGCCAACACTGTGCAGAGGAGGGTAAGGCATTAGGTGGGTGCCCCACAGATCTGGCTTTGAGCCCCAACTCTGCACTTACCAGCCAGGCGACCTTGAGCAAGAGCCTCAGCTGAGATTGTTCCTTCCAATGTAAAATGGGTAAGAATCCCCCCCTCCAGGTTGCTGGGAGGCTTACATGAGCTCCTGCACTCAAGGTTCTCAAAACAGAGAGCAGTATTGACAGCCATCTTTTTGGGTATGGTCATTATCGTCACCTCTGGGGTGCGGTGGGCAGGACAGCCTCCCGCTGAGAGCCGCCTTTCTTCCCCTGGAAGGCTGCTCCCTGCAGGGCAGACCCCTTCTCCCGCACAAACTCACCTTGACCTGTGACTCAGTCATCCCCAGCGAGTATGCCAGCCGTGCCCTCTCAGGGCCAGCCAAGTACTTGGTCTGCTCAAAGGTCTTCTCCAGGGCAAAGATCTGGTGTCCCGTGAAGGTGGGCCGGGTGTGCTTTTTCTTGTGGATGCTGTCGCTCAGGGGATCCGGGGCTGGCAGGAGGAAGAAAGTGTGTGGTTAGTGGGAGGAGTAGGGGTGCCAGCCCTGTCCTCATCTCCCACTGGGTGAGCCCCCTCCTACAGAGACGCCCCTGAGATTGTGGGGGCATCGTGACTCCGCTAACAAGCAGCATTCCTGGTGATCGGACAATAGGACTGTGACCTCTGCCACATTTGGGTGGACAGGGACCCCGAGAGGGCCCCTGCCCCAGGGGAGAGCTACTTAGGGGCAGAGGGTGCTTGCAACCTGCCCTGGTCTCTCTGTAATGTTTTCACTACTCAGTGATGCTGCTTTCCCTCCAGGGGCAGCAAGAGGTTCTCGGTTTTCTCACCAAGACGCAGGCTAGGTACCTTCCACCAACTGTCAGGGCCCCAAGGGGTCTGGGAATTCCTCTCCTGCCTAATCCCTTGTTCTTGGGATCCCATTTTCCAGGTTTCTGAGAAAACCAGAGCTTTAGGCCCCAAGTTACTGCTCTCCCTTGTCACCGGGCCTAGAAGTCCTACGGTCTCAACCACGCGGGACAGTCTGCACACAGAGGCTCGGGGCCCTGCCCCCTGCCCAGCTAGGGCAGCCACTCAGGCAGGAGCCGGGCTGGAGAACAGCAGGGCTCCGGGGAGGCAGAAGGCCTGCCTGTTGGGCCTTTGTCAGCGCAGCCCAACAGCCCATGTCCCGTCTCCTCATGTTACAGGTAAGGAAACTGAGGCACTGGGTGGGGAAGAAGCTTCCCAAGAGACTGTCATCCGCAGTCCTCTCTCCCTTTGTGTTAATTCAGCCACCGACTTGGATACTTTCCTGTGTGTGGCTGTGCACTTGGGATTGAAGAGTAGGGGCGTGGGGAGAGTGTGTGTGGTGGGGGGAGGGGGAGATGGAGGTGAGAGAGACAGGCCTAAAGCACCCCCAAAACCAGTTCCAAGAGATGAGGTCTTCACCCACATGGAACTCGCCATGCTTCAGGCTGAGTGAGGGGTGGGCTGTCAGGCGGTGTGACCAACCGGAACAGTGCAGCAGATGGGGAGGCAGGTGTGTTTTGGGGTTTTCTTGGTGGGCGCCAAGCCCCTATTGCGGTGGGGCAGCCCCGAGGTCCGAGAGGAGCAGAAGTTCCCTCCGCCTCTGCCCCTGCCTGGTCCTGGCTGGGCCTCCGTGGCACAGGGAGGGCTCCTGCGGCCACTGTCACCTCCCTGTCTCCCAGGGGAGCCTCATGGGCCCGTGCACGTCCTGCCGCCTCCTCCGGGCCCCGACTGGCATCCTGGGGACCCCACACCCATTCTCTGAAAACAGGTTTGGGCATGGTAGGGTAGGGAGACCCCCCTGCCCCAAGAACTAGGGCCAATTCTGACTTGACTCGGCAGCTGCTCCCGGGGGCCGGGCAGTTGTCGCTGCTCCTGCTGACATGAGCCCCGAGGAGGATGGTGGATGGCCGCCCCCTTGATCGCAGGTGGACCAAGATGGGGTCGGAGTGCATTTGGTGGCCCTGAAGGGTGTCAGGGCACGAGTGGGTCTCCCTGGGAAGGTGATGTTGTGGCAGCTTCTCACTGGGGACAGCATTTGCCTGCTTTGGAGGAAGAGGTGACATGGGCTCTGAGTGGGAGAAGGAAGCTAAGCTTCAAGGAGGACCCTACATAGGGCAAATGTGGGTTATGGGGTCTTCTCCTGACCTGGAGACCCCCGGGGTTTTTAAGAGGGCAGCTGAGGCGGCTGCTGGTAAGGGCGAGGGGTGAGGGGCAAGACACCTGTCCAGGCAGAGCTGGGGTGGGCCCAGGAGGGGAGAAGTCAGTCGTGCACCACGGTGAGCCATGGACCCAGGTGTCTGATGGTGGCTGAGGAGAGGTGGATGGCAGGTACGCACCACCCTGGGAGCCCTCCCCTCCCTTCCCACACCTCCTCCTCCCCTGATCCTGCAGGGGGCCGGGGGGCCAGGGTGGGGATGGAGCCTTGCCCTGTACTCACTGTTGCCGCATTGCCGCCCGCCTCGCCAGTCCTGGCCCGTGTCCGCCCAGCAGTTCCGGGTCCGGGGCGGGTACTCATTGCCAGCCTTGGGAAAATTCCCCACCTGGGGTCCATAGTAGACCCCCTGGGAGCCGAGTCCACCAAAGCCTGCCACGTGGGGGTAGCTGGAGAGAAGGCTGCTGTTCGGCGTGGCCACGGGCCTGCTCAGGATGTCTGTGATCCCGTGGGGGGTCCCGGCAGCCAGCTGGGGGCCCAGCCCCGGAGGGCTGAGCTTGTAGAAGGAGTTCTGCACCGAGTACTGGCACACGGGGGCCTTCATCTCCGAGAACTGAGCCAGTGGCGTGTTGTTCAGCAGGAACGTCCCCTGCAGGTTGGACTCCATGATCCTCGGGTCAGGGTGAGGGAAGGTGAGAAGCCCAAATCTAGGCCCCTAAAGCCAGAGACCCTGAGCTCTGACCCAGAAGCCCATGGCAGGTTTGGGGGTCAAAAGCGGCCCGAGCCCCAGCCTGCCCTCCTACCTAAGGCATCCGGCCTGGCCCTGGCCCGGGGAACAGCATCTACGTCAGCGGCTCGGAAGTCAGGTGCTCCTGGGGCAGGTGAGAGGCCTCACCAGCGCCCCTTGGCTCTCTCCCTGTCTGTCCTGGAGAAGGGCGGCTCCCCACGCCTCAGCTCAGACCCCTCCTCTGCCTGTGAGTCTGGGGACCCTCCATGAGAAGTTTTAAGTTCAGAGAAGCAACATTTCCCTGATAAAGATATGGCCCATTAGAATACAGACCTGAGACTGGCTGAGCTGTGAGAGGCGCGGCGCCATTGGTCGAAACCCACACAGGCCTCACATTGGCTTTTCCAAGACAAATTGCACTTTGAAAGATTGACTGTAAAATCAGCCAGGGCGCGCGCGCGCGCTTGTGTGTGTGTATGTGTGTGTGTATGTGTGTGTGTATGTGTGTGTGTATGAGAGGGGGGCGGGGGGGGGGGAGGGATGAGCTCTGGAAGCTCTCTTCATTCTCAGAGGGTCTACCAGCTCCCGGTCCCCCAAGCCCAGCATCTAGGGAAAGGTGGGTACCTGGGGCCCCCTGGAGGCTCCTGAGGCAGCCGCTCCCCTGAGGGTGAGGAGGCCAGGGTCGGGGTCGCTGCCCTGGGGTGCACAGACCCCTTTATGTGCAGATCCCCAAGCCAGTGGGGGAGTATGGCGTCTGAGTGTGGACACTTCTCTTCCTCCGAGCTGGGATGGGTAACTGGGGAGGCTGGACTTTGGCTGGGAGAGTGGGGGGTGGGGATGTGGACCTCTGTGACTGGCCTGAGAGCCTGGGAGTGGGAGCCTGTCAGCAGACTGGGGCGGGGGGTGGGAGTGGAGCAGCTCTGCGCGCCTGCCGGGTGTGTGCTCTTCCCACCTCCGCCTCCAAGCAGACTTTCCTGATTCCCTCTCTTCTCCCATCTTCCTCCTCCGAGGAATCATTTGTGCCTCTGCTGGAGCCCATTGCCATGTTCTGTCTGGCTCGGCACCTGGGTTGGAAAGCTGTAATGGCTGAGATGGGTGTTGATTCAGTGGTGGGCCCCCCTGGCAGGCACTTGGTTGGTGCTCAGTCATTATTTGACTGAGTTGCAGAGCACCCATATGCCTTTTTTCTAATGAAAAAAAAATTTTATTTTATTTATTATTTTTTTTTTTTTTTTGCAACATACAAGGCTCTACTGGGGGCCTTCTTCTGTTTTACAAACAGGGAAGCCATGGTGAATACCCGGTTGTTTCTGCATGGGGCAACATCCTTTCTTGCAGTTCTTGTTTTTGTTTTGTTTTGTTTTTAAAAGTGAAAACCAGCGTGCCACTGGTCTGAACATGTAAAAATGACAGGACATTAGTGACTGTCAGGCAGATAGACTTCTGTCCCTCCTCTGCGGGGCAGTTCCAAAGCCTTTCCAGATGAGGCTGTGGGCTCCTTGGCTGTCTCAACAGCCCGTGGTCCCACTGTGGCAGGTGGGAGAAAAGAGGTGCCCTTCGCTGGCCTTCTCCCAGGCTTCTAGCTGGAGGTCTGGACCCAGGACTTGGGGAGGGCTCCCCTCTCACACAGAGCCTGCCTCTCCCCACGCTGCTATCTGTTCCTAGTGGAACTGGCTGCCCCCAGCCATGTTCTCTGTAGTGTACGTGATGTAGGCTAATGCAAGAAAGATCTCACACAGGCTGTGGAGGTTATTTCTCTACAAGTTTAGACTAAAAACAAGAAAAAAGGATCTTACCCCTCTGAGTTGGCTGTGCTACCAAGCTGCCCATCCCAACCATTTGGGAAATTTAATTCCGACTTCCATGTCGCCGCCTGACACCCCCCCCCCCCAGGTGACTGTGATCCTGAAACTGTGCTTTTGAAACAGCTCTGGGCCATGCGGCTGCACAGCCTCGGCTGGTGCCTGGTCGAGGGTGGCTTTTCTGAGACAGAAGTTACGGATTCCGAGTGAGGGCCGCCCGTGCTCCTTGGACCCTGCGACTGTGACTTGGTCACCCCCTAATGATGGGAACTTATGAGGAAGAAAACCTGCAGCAAATGATTTCTTTTTACTGCCAGGCGTGACAAAGGCATTCACTTTTGGGAATCCCAGGAGGACAAACTGAAGAGACTTTAGCAATTGTTTGATCCATTCCCCCATTTGAGAGATGAGAAAACTGAGGCCAGCTTGGTGTACAGCCTCATGAGGTGTTAGGAACTAGTGAGGAACAGGGCAATTTTCTCAAAAGTTCTTGAACTTTGAATGACATTGAGTGCAGGGGCCAGACACCTTCACAGGGAGGGACTGGGGGGGCCACCTTAGTGTATACTGTGTGTTCAGCCATGCACCCTGGGGGAGTTTGGTGCCCCCCTCCACCACCTTGGACTTGCCCCCATCTCATGGTAATCCTTAGGAGACAGACATCTGTCCTACTAACCCCAGCAGTTTGATGGGCTTCTCCCAGGATGGGTGGTCTGATGAAGGGGCTGTCCAGGTTTCCAGGAAGGGGACACCCCCCCACCCCGGGGTGGGGATGCAGGCCTCCCTGCTGACTGATCCCACCCCCAGACTCCTTCAGGCCCCAACCTAGGCTTCACTCTTGCCCCGGCACCTCAGATTGCCCCAGGCCGAGCCAAGAAGGAGAGATGGAGCCCTGTGCCGTGAGTCAATTTCTTTATTAATTTTGACATTTGTTCAGCTGGTGTAGGGAGAATGGTCTATACATCAGAGTGGGGTGGGGGGATTCTCTCCCGATAACAGAGCATTTGGGAGAGAGTCAAGAAAAGAGTCATTTCCATAACAATTAAAAAAATCAGGGTAATTCCAAAACTTCTAAAAAGCGTCTAATGTGCAGACTGCAGCATTCTCTAGGCATCGTGTGGAGACCCCAAACTCCTCCCCTAACAGCTCCTACTAGCAACTGGAGCGCGCAGCCATGCGGCCGAGGGCCTGGGGCCGGCGGGCCAAGCAGCCATGCCAGACGCAGCGGAGGGTGCCAAAGCATAGCCTGGAGCCGCGGGGCCCACGCGGGGCTCCACGTGGGGCTCCACGAGGGGCTACTGGGGGCGGCGGCGGCGGCGGCCTGCGGGGGACGGCGCGGGGGTCGAGGAGGGGAGGCGGGCCCTGCGCCTGTCTTTCCCCGCCCGGCGGCCCGCCGCGCTCCTCCCGCCCCCGGCCGAGCCCGCCGGCTCCCGCGGTGGCCCCGGCGCCTGGCCCGCCGCGGAGGAGCGTCCCGGCGCGGGGGCCGGGGCCGCGCCTCCCGGGACGCAGCGCCGAGCGCCAGCTTGGCCTCCGGCGCCCGGGCCTGCCCCTCGGAGAGCCGAGCGCCCGCCGCCCGGTCGGAGCGGTGGGAGCGGTGGGAGCGGAGCGCCTCGGCCGGCCCCGGGCTCGTGGGGACTGCGGCCTCCGCCGGGAGACGTGTGCGCTGGTGACGGGCACCAGGGCCGCGGGGGCTCGGTCGTGAGGGAGCCTCTGTGCTACTTGGAAGGTCGGATGTGTCTGAGGCCGCCTCAGAGGAGCGGCAGGGAGGAAGGTGACAGGACGTCCGCAAACAAAGACCCTCGCGAGCGAGAAGAGCCTGCCAGTCTCTCTCCCGGCCCTAGAGGGCGCCCGCCGGGACCGGGCGGGGCAGATTGTGCTGATTCGGGCCTCGCTCCGCGGGAGGCTCCAGTGTCGCCTTAAGGCTCTTCCCTGGTGGTACCGAGGCGAGGAACAGCCCGCTGTCGGTCTCCTTCCTGCTCTGCCCGAGGGCCTGGCCCAGGAGGCGCTCCTTCCGAGCCCGGGGCCTCCCGGGGGCCGGCTGCGCTCTCCTCCTCCGGCTCTCTTCCCCCTGCGCCTGTGGTCAGGAGTGGGCCCCTCGCCCGCCTCTCCCAGTGGGGCAGAGGGGCTTGGTCAGAGTGGGGGCACTGAGGCTGTCCGGCCTAGGCCCCCCATCCTGTGGGCTGCCTGGACTTAGAGCACCAAGTTGGCCCTGGGAGACCTTTTGGGGGGGGGGTGGCTGACTTCTAAGAACTGGCAGATAACATTCACTAGCCCTACTCCCTTCCTTCCTCTTTCACTGAAAGACAGGCTGTAGCTCCTTCTCCTGCAGCCTGGAGAAGTCCTCAGGAGCTGAGCTCTTAGTGCTTTGTACATACTGCTAAAGTGTTTCTATTGGTTTGCATAGTATTTATTGTTTTTCATATACACAAGGCTGATTACTGTACAGTTTACACTTTGAACACAGACTATGATATAAGTGCTTGAAGATATAGGAAACCTCTTCTCTATTGAACACGCTGGTGCAATCCTGGGACAGCCACCGGCCCGCCCCCCGCTGAGAGAGAACACCTTTTCAGAGGGGGTACTGGCTCCCTTTGAGGCCTACAGCTGAGCCTGGGGGGTGTCCTCGCCTCAGATTCTTAAGTCCCTAACACAAGGAACCCCGAATGCACTCTCAAGGTAATGATTTTCCATTGGAAGATGATTAATACTGAAACTGGCAGAGAGAGAGAGAGAGAACATAAAAAAATTCCAGTTTGTCCACAGGAGATTCTCTACAGCTTTGGACATCACAGTAAAATCTGTGTGTATACTGAGAGGGGAGAGCTGCTTGTGTGTGTGTGTGTGTGTGTGTGTGTGTGCGCACGTGTGTGCGCCTATGCGCGTGTCCTGAATGTCATGTAGAACATTCTGGGAGGAGCGGCCCCCTGGGGAGTGGGATGGGATGGCTCGAATGGAGTGGAGGCGGGTGTCGGTAGGGAAGACTGGCAGATGAGAACATGGCATTAAGGTGCCGAACTGATTTGGTGCCTAGTTTTCTTTCTTTCTTTTTTTTTTTTCTTTCCAGGAAGCCCACATGGATTTCCTACAGATGAGGTTGAAAAAAAAGTACCCTGTAACAAGTCAAAATTAAAATGATTTTACAAAAGATACCATCCCCAAACACAAAAAAGCCCTTGTTCACTTTCGCGTTCCGCGCTCTCGCGCTGGTTTTCTATCCCCCTCTCTCTCTCCCCACCCCCCTTCTGGAGGCGTTTGTCCTGATTCCCGACAGAGACAGAGATCCGTGGTCGCTAGAGGCAGGATTGAGGACTGTAGGTCATGCGTCTACAGTCGGTCGTTCATGCGAATAGGAGACCAAAGGAAGTCCCTTACAGAGATCATGCCGTTAGCCTAGAGGAACAGGTGCACCATTCCGTAGCCCTCTGCTCCAGCTCTCCTCCCGTGTGCATGGCAGAGTGTGTGGAGTTCAAGGGTTGGGTGTCGAGGTGTGATCCTGAGGGACACAAAGAGAGAAGGAGTTACTTAGGATCTAAAGGGGCAACTCCCAGCAAAAAACCCAACTACTGAGTTTTGTGCTGGCTGCTGAGGCAGGGTCTGATTCAGGAAAAGCATCCTCCCCAAGCCAGGCAAGGAGGTGAAAGACCTTGAGCTCAGAGCCCCCTGACCTTTGGGAACTGCCAGCCATCGTTCTCCCTCTCCCCAGCCCAGAGGCTGCCCCTCAGGGGTGGCTGCCCAAGCCTGCGTGGGTCCCCTGCCCAAGTGGACGAGCTCCCCAGAAAACCCTCGTGTGTGTGCTCTGTGCCTCAGAGAGGAGGCAGGAGGCTCCCACGCCTGCGGTCCCCTGGGGGAAAAATTCCCTCGAGTAGATCCTTGGACCTAGGAAGGGGGCCAAGTTCATAAGCCAGGGCTTGTGCTAAAGAAGGCAGCAGTGCCCTCCACTTTCTCAGTTCAGTTCAGCCAACACGCACTGATGTCTCTCAGTGCCAGCCCTGGGGACCCAGAGATGGAGCAGACATGATCACAGACAGCCTCAGGAGCTTGGGACCTCAGGGGACAGCCGCCCCTCTTTGGCTCTGGTCTACAAGCTCTTACTGTCAAGTTCCTCTGGCTCCGCTCCCCATGCCCTGGGGGTGGACAGCCTCTGCGGTGGCAAAGAGATCTCTTTTTTTAAGAGATCTTTGAAAACAAACGGGTGCATTCTCCCCAGGACATTGTCTATCTTTGGCTGGAGAAGAGCAGCTTTGCCTGCAGAGTGAAGTCCACTTTCTGCAGCTTGGGGTTCACAGGGAGACACTGCTCCTGCCACGTCTTGGTGCCTCGTCCCCCTCCTCCTTCCTGGGGCGAGAACTCTGTGTTTCCGGGACTAGCCACTCAGGATTCTGTCTGCAGGACCTTGGGATGGATGCAGGGGGAGGAGCACACTTAAATAAAGAGGAGCTGACAATCTCCGGGGCGGCGTAGGAAGTGACACAGAAAGGCAGAGACTCATTCCACGGTGGAGCTGTCCCCAGACAGGGAGCTGCCCTGGGCCCTACAAGGTGACACGGTTACGGAGGAAGCTGGTGGGGGTCAAAGTGAACTCAACTCTGAGTGGTCCTCCAGGGGTGGGAGGGCCGGGCTAGGTCCCCTGCCAGAGGCTGCCCCACAGGCAAACACCAGGCATTCTGCTGCTGTCACCCCGGAGGGCAAGACTCTTTCGTCACTGCCTGAGCTTCTCTGTTGGCCAAGCTGGCCTCCTCCAAGCCTTCCGAACCCACGGCGCACACCAGCTTCCTGCCTTGCTCGCGGCCCTCCCCTCATGGATGCTGTCCTGTCCCCTCTCTGCAGAAGCTCTGCTCACCACACTCAAGGCCTCTCCTCCAGGAAGCCTCCCTGATAACCCTGGCTGCTTGTCATTTCTCTCTTCTCAGCTCTGGAAGCTTCCCACTCCCTCCACCACCTTTCGTTGAGAGCGCTCACGGGGCATAGTGGGTAAAAGCGGGAACTCTGAAGCCAGCCGGGTTGCCTGAGTTCATATTCTGTCTCTGCCAATTTCCCTGGTCCCATTACTTGCACTCTCTGTGACTCAGTTTCCTCTGCCGTTAAACAAGGGCAGTAACAGGCTGCGCCTCATTAGATGGTGGTGATGTTTCAAAGAGCTTCCGAGTACTCGGGACAGTGGATGTACACTCTGACTAGGCTCTCTTCCCTGTCTCACACCTGTGGCATCTCCCCGGCTGGAGCAGAAACACTCTGAGGGCCAGGCCCGGCCTTACCCTTCCCAGGGGTCCGCCCCCCACTCAGGGCTAAGCACGCCTCAAACAAGAGACCTCGTAAAAGTTTGAGCCTGGGGAAAACAGCCGACCACCTTCCACTTTTCTGCCCAGACACAGCGCAGAGGAGAGAGGTCAAAGCTTAGAGATCATGCTATGGTGCCCTGCACCTCTTGTCCCAGGAGAAAGGTCTCACCCTATAAAGAACGGGGAGAAGTGGCGGTCCTGCTCCGTGCCTGTCCTGCCCCATCCCTCTGTGCGGTACCTCCTGTTCCCACCCTGCCCAGTGTCTGTGGCCCTCTCCCCTCTCCCTCAGGCCCAGACTCGCGCCCCTGCAATGGCTGGCCTGTGACTTCAAACAGCAACATACAACATGACCCCCTTGCCTCCCTGCCCCTTCCCAGGGAGATGACTAATTGCTTAACTTTTAAACTTACTAAAACAGTCCATTGTCGGAGCTAACACAAGCTCTTAGAACCACAGTGTCTGAATGGAAAGCGTCTCTTCAAAAGGAAAACAAGGAAAAGCTGCAGCCTTGTTGTGCCGCAGCTTCCTGAAATTCCAGAAGCCAGAGCCATGGCGATGCCGAGAGATGCCAAGACCCAGCGCCTGCCCAGGCTGCAGGGAGCCCAGCAGACGCCAGGGCTGCCCCTGCCACAGCCCTCCAGCAGCCCACTCCGTGCTGGTGCTCCCGCACAGCACACACCCCAAGTCTTGGACCCACCTCCTGGGGCCCAGAGCAAAACCCACCAGTTGCTACCGTCACCAGCCATCAGGCCTTGGAAAAACAGCAGTATGGTAGCGTCTCAAACACCACCAGAAAGCACCCTTCCCCCCAACTTGCCAGGCCTTAGATACAGAGTCCTTCCCAAGGTGGGGGTGATTGGGGGGGGAATCGATGGGTGAGGGGGTCTAGTCGCTCTTCACCTGGGGTGGGGGCATTCTGCCATCTTTGAACAAACTTCTAACCTTCATTCCTGGCGGCCCGCTTTTTAAATACCAAGTGTACAACTTGCTATCAAGTCCATGTCACCTCTTGGTGGTTTGGAAGGAAAACCAAATTTGGTCAGAAGAACTCACTCTTCAATACACATAAAAATCACTTGAGGAGCTTGAGGCAGAATCCCGAGTTCCAGAATTTTAATTCAGTAGGTCAGGGGCAGGGGCTGGGAATCTGCATTTTAACCTGACTCGACTCTTGGGTGGCACTTGGAGAAACAGCGGGTGGGAATTGAACAATGTATACAGCCTTTCACAAACACACCCCATCCATCACGAAAACCATCCTACAGGGGAAGGGAGTGATGCAGCTGAGATTTCATGGTAGGAACCCGAGGCGTAGCGGGGTCGGCTAACCTGCTCTGGGTCAACCTCGGATGGACGCTGACTGAGCACAGCTGTCCTGCACTCCTCACCACAGCCTGCCCAGGGACCACGACTATCTCTAAACCTCTCAACAGAATGGAAGGAACCGTCTGCAATCTCCCTCCAGGGGACGGAAGCTCAGGGCAAGTGACTAGTGCAAGGCCACACCACCTGGAACAGGAGGCCAGCCTTTGCATCTAGATTCCCAAGCCCCAGCTTTGACTCTCTCTGAACCTGACACAGTAAACTCTTGCCATTCGCAGTGGTCATGTTCGAGAAAGTTGCCAACACTGCACCACTGCTCTTAAGGAAAATGCCCAGTTAGGTTCCTGTGAGCCTCCATTCAGCACATCTTTGTCAAACAATGAATACATAACCTTGTCTCATGTGTGTTTCTGTATAAAGACACCTTATTTAATACTGCTGATCCCGTAACTCCCCACCGACAGTGCCCTGACTCACGGCCAGTGACTCTTATCTAACACACGTATTTGTCCCCGTGGGGTATATCCCAGCCTTCTTGCTCTTAGGAACTTGAGACAGCACTTGGGCACTAGGCTTGGGAGCCATTTTAAACAGCAAAATCAACAAAAAGCACAAAAAATGCAAACAATGTGGCACTGAACACAGATTTTTCACCATCGTGGGTGTGTGTGTCTGTGAATGACCACGAAAGCACCGAGTGTGTGGGTTTTGGGGTTAACATAAATTTTAGGCAGGGGGCAAATTTGCAAGTGTGCAACCCAGGAATACTGAGGGCTGACTGTACGGGCTTGCGAGTGGGTGGCAGGAAGTACTGAGAGGATGAGAGGGCCATCGGCCCCTCAGGGTCTGCTCTGCGGTCTTTGTCCTGTTGTGCGGGTGGAGCACTGCAGGCTACCCACCAGGCCCTTCGGGACCAGGCAGGAGCCTGTTCCACACTGCCTCCCTCACCACTGTCCCCACCGCATACTTCCCCGGCCTCTTCTTGGCAGAGGCCCCGGCACCGTGCTGGAGCTGGGCTGCCCAGTGCTCCCCACACCCATGCTCAGTGGTCTGGAACCCTATCTCCTTTGGGGGTTTCAGTCACCTTGCAGAACATCCACAGAAATTAAAAAAAAAAAAATTCTAGGTTCCTCCCTTCCTCCCAGCCTGGCTTCGGGGCTGCCGCTTTCCTGTTCAGGAACATGAGTCGAAGGAACCCGAGCCAAACAGAAGCAGAGATGTAGAACCCCTGCTGCTGCTAAGAAAGAATCAGGCAGAAGAGTGCATTTTTCCTTCTCCTCCCTGCTCCTTCAAATTGTTTGCACCTTTGGATTCTTTCCAGGACTCATCCCAGCTAATCTAAACCAGCAGCCTGGTGGCACCCTTGGCAATGCCGGGGTTAATACTGTGACCTCCTTAAGCTGCTGAGAAGTCAGGTCTAATTTTATCCTATAACTGGATCCGCAGTCCTTTTTTTTTTGCCCGGTGCTGAGGTATGTTGGGAAGCCCAGAGCCAGCACTTCTGGTGGCTTGGGAGGCAGGGGCCCTGCTTTTTGCTGAATGCAGAAAGCCGGAGCCTGCTTTCCTCTTGGCCCAGAGCCAGGCCCTGGGGGGGGGGGGGGGTGAAATGCCAAGAACTGGATTAGTACTATGCTGGGGCCACCATGCTTCCTTGCTTCCCGCCGACTCCCACCCCGATGCATCCTGTACTGAGCTGCCCCGAGCTGGGCACAGCGAACGGCCTCGGGGCAGCTCAGTACAGGATCCCTCAGGGAGGACGGAGGTCAGAGCTGGCCGCCGGAGCCCCCAGCACTGCTCGGGCCTGCTGGAGAGCCTTCGCTGCAGCGTCTTCACGGCCCTCCCTCATTGCAAATCCCCACACACCCCCACCCCTCAGCCACGCAGCCCTCATGCTCCCGCACGCATGCACCAAGCCTCGACAACCCTCCTAGCTCGCTGGGAGGACGCCATCCGCCCCTCGGACCTGTTCACTTCACCCTTTCCTAGAAAGCAACGGAGCGACCTGTCTCCAGAAGCACCGAAGAGAATGGGCGCCTTGGTTTGATCAGGACTTTCGAAGGGTTCCAGGCTCAAGAGACAGTGCTGTTCTAAGTCTGTCACTGCTGGAGCTCTGCCGGGGGACTTGCGTTGAAGTGGCCCAGGCTAGACAGACTCCCTGTGCCCCCCTAGGCCCGTCCCCACCGTCCTCCCTCCCCATCGCTTGGCTTTCAGGAGAATATCATCACTGAGATTTGCCGAGTATTTTCACTCATCAAAGCATTTTCTCAAATTTGTATTTTTGTGCCCCGGGGGAGGTCAATCAGCAGATACTGTTGGCTGTTTTCTTGAGGAGGAAATTGAGACTCAGAGAGACAGTTAGCAGGTTGGGAAACAATCTGGGCCTCGAGGCCACGGCACCCCTGTTCCTCCTGCATCGTGCTGGGGGTGGCGGAACGGAGAGCTCCCCCGGATGAGGGGGAGACGCGAGGAAGTGAGCAGCCATTCCCAGCACCAGCCACTCCTCGAGCACCAGGCCATGCAGAAAGGATGCAGAAAGATGGCGTTACCTCCAAAGAGGTCATTCGAGGGGAGGGGCTAGAGATCACTGCTTCCCCCTTTTTAGGCTGGCCCGCTTCACTATCTGAGCCCCCTTCCTGCTCTCTGTCAGGTCCGGCTGCAGGCTACTCCCTCGCAGCTGCACCTGGAGACAGCAGCAGAGACAGAAGGCAGGACGGATCACAGAGAGACAGGAGATAGGCAGGAGAAAGCATGGAGGCCGTGGAAACGCTGCCTGCCAGAGGGCGCGGAGGCACAAGGGGGACCGGCGGGAGGGAGTGTGGTGCCGCCTGAAGCCCAGAGTGGGCGGGCGCACAGGTGAGCAGCCCGTAGAGGTGCTGGGCGCCCCAAGGCCCGGGAGCCTGGGGAGCCTCCAGGAGGCTGCAGCCTCCGCAGTACCTGCGCGTGTCTCATAAAGGAATCAACATCAGCTTCCATCTCACTGGGATCCTCCAGGGGCCCCTCAGCAATCACCTCCTCATGCTCCTGGGCGTCATCGGCACCGGACGAGTCTATCTGCCGAACGACTTTGCGAATGATCTGGAAAAGAGGAGAGGACGAAGGGTCCGTGAAGCCGTGGAGACAGAGGCTGGGAAGAGCAGGTCCCCTGGCAATGACATCTGGGGGAAGAGGCAGCCTTTCTCCTAAGGCATCCTTCCTCCAGTGGCCAAGAGCAGGGACTGGTCTCCCGCCCCCACACCCCTGCCCCATCACGTGGAAAACAAGCTCTGCGAAGCCTTAGGGGGGCTAGAATTTGCAGCCAGTCCATCGATGGTCAGGGTTTTTGCCTCTTGATATTGTTGGAAGGTCCTGCTGTGTTCCCCACACCATGAGCTGCTGAGGGCAGAACAGCTCTTTTTCATCTATAGGGATTCCAGGCAAGTGTATTCTCTTATTCCCTCACCCAAATATTCTAGCCCTGTCTACTCTGTGCCTACCACGTCCTGGAACCGAGAGATGAAAACACAAGGCACCGTCCCTGCCTGCATGAGGCACACTTTGCAAGAGGCAAGATGGACACCTGACGGGTCTTGCTTCAATTTACTGGGAGCAGCACACAGTGGGAGCACATACTAGGTCCCCCCTTTGGCCCTTCTTCTCTCTTCTGCCCAGACCTAGCATGGTGCCCAATACTTGACAGGCAAAATCAGGTCTAGTGAATTAAAAGCTGTGGCCAATTCAATGCATTTCCACAGCCTTTTTGCTGTCGGAGGCCCGTGGGAGTTCGGGGACCACCACCCTGCCGTCTTATAGCAGTTTCCAGGGCTAGACATCGCTGGGCTAGGTTTGGGCTGTTCCATGGAGCCTGGTCCTTCTGGAACAAAGTAGCAGGAGCTGAATTCAGGCGGAATCAGGTAAAGTGGCTATGAGGAATGTCAGACCGGACCTCAGATGACCAGAGCTCCCAGCACCTGAACCAGCCCGCCCGAGCCGTCCTGACCCTCTGTTAGGGCAGCAGTGAGAAGCAAGGAGGGGAGTCCAGCACCTTTTAGCTTCTAGCCCCGCTGCCTCTTCCCAGCTCAGGGGCACTCTGTGCACCCACCTTCTTGGTGACAATGTTGCCCTGCTCATCTGTGAATTGTTCCTCTGTCACCTGCTCCCCTGGAATATTCTGAAACTCACTCCCCTAGAATTGTAGAAAAGGAGAAAACTCAAGATTAGTAAGTGGGTGGCCTGGGCGTAAGGCGGAGGATGAGGGAATTAAAGAGCACGGCCAACAGTCAGAGTCGGACAAATCCCCACCACGGCAGGCAAGTCCAGCTCAGCAAGTAGCAGCGGCCAAACCCAGGGCTCTGAGCACGAGAGGCGCCCCTGGGGGCCGTGGGGCCTGAAGACAGGATGGAGCCCCACGCTTGCAAGAGCCTTGTGTGCCTGATCCCTCACCAGCACCAGGGAGCAGGCAAAACCGGGGCGGTCACGCAAGTGTTACAAGGGAGGCCCTGAGAGAGGAAGTGAGGCACCTAATTTATCTCTGGACAGCTCTTTGCAGCGTGAAAGCCCTTCCACAGACACCGGCGCCCTGAGTGTGACCTGCCCGCTTCCTGAAGCCGGCTGGAGACAGGGGCAGGCCAAGAATGGGCCTCCCAAGTCCCAGAGCGGAGCTGCCCGCGCTGCCGCAGCGCTGGCAGTCCCAGTGGGCTCCACAGCCCCCGGCTCCGGCTCCTGACTCAGGGCCCGTCCCTTCCCCCAGCTGCTGCCCACGCACATGGCGGGGCCGTGCCCTCAGCCCTGTCTCCTGCCTGGCGGTTACCTTCAGGAAAACCCGACGCCGGACCACCCTGGTGGAGATGGTCTCCTCGTCGTCACTCACGCCCTCGCTCTCCCCCAGCTCCTTGTCCAGCTCCTGGTGGATATGTTTCAGCACAAAGCACAGGGAGCCCTTGACAATGTGCATCACGTTCTGACAGCTGACCAGAAAGAAGCCCAGGAGCACTAGGGTGACCAGGAGCTGGGTGATGAAAGTCCACATCCTCACCTCCTCAGCAGCTGGGCCCTCTGGGGACTAGCGGGGCCAGGGCTCCGGCCGCTGTGGGGGTCCAACCTCTCATTCTCCTTTCAGACTCCCACGTGCCCCTGGGACCCCTTGCATTCTCTCTCCACAGGAGACCGGACGGCCTCTCACTAGAACTGCCCGCTGAGTGCCCTCCTGCCGAGCAGCCCCAGGCTCTGCCCTCACGCCTGGGTGACATCAGGCTTCGATAATTTTAGCTCCCCAAACCAGCTGCTGGGGCTGTCCAACTGGGCTAGAAGGGAGCAGGCAGGTGCGCGTGTCCCGGGCACTGAAAGCGCATGTCAAAGTCACTCTGTGGGTGACGGGTGCCCCGCCCCGTCCTCTTGCCCCACCCACCCCCGCCCCCCAGGCCTGCCCGGCCCATGCGCACTAGAAGCAGTTCTGCCCAGGGAAGTATTCTCTTTCCGGGACTCCAGGAAATAAGGTGTCCGGAGGAAGTGGCCACTTGTGTGTTTCTCTGGGCGGTTACTGCCGTGGTCAGAATGGAGCTCACCCCCACCCACAGGGATGGGACCGGCTACTACCCTGGAGAGAGAGTTAAGGGTTTACTTCAGAAATAGCCCTGGGATGAGTGATGTGCTCAGGCCTAACCAAATTAGCTCAGCGGGGGTCCAGCACAGGTTGGGGGGCACCGGGAAGCCTGTGCAATTCCCATCAGCCCTGAGGGCCCTCGGCACACGCCCCGCCCCTCCCCCCCCCCCCCCCCCCCCCCCCCCCGGACCCAGCAACCCTAAACGGTAAGCGTGTAACTGGTGTGTCTATTTAAGGCCTGTCCTCAAAGGCTCTTCCCAGGCTGGGCCGTCAGCGCCCACCAGCAGGAACCACGCGCTCGCCTTTACAGAGCTGATTCACAAATGCAGCCGTGGCGGCTGTGGCCCACAGGAATTTCACTTTCCGGATCAGGCTGTGCCGCTCTGAGTAACAGTCCACATGGCAGAGGGAACAAAGATCTGGGGCACAGCCCAGCGACTTGCAACTCACCCACCGCGGGGGCCGGGGAACTCTGGGTGCCTTCTCTGGGAAAGAGGGACGGACTGAGATGCTCCCCCTACCCCATCCGGCGAGGAGCGCCGGGGTCAGAGTACTATCATGAGGAAGAGTCAGCGCAGGCCCTCATGCCCTGCGTACTCCGTAGGCATTGTGCTGTGTGTACTCCACGTTCGAACTCGGTGAAGCCTTCCCACAGCCCTACCATGCAGGTTCTATGACTTTTCCATTTTACACAAAGGCAATGGAGGCACAGAGTCAAAGAGTAAGTAAATGAAAGGGTCCAATTTCAAGCTCCCGTCACTACACGGTACTGCCTCGTTTCCACAAGGAAGCACCTGGAGAAATAAAAGCCCACCGCACATGCAAAGGAGCTGGGCGCCGGTGAGCACTCGGTTTGGGCCCAGCCAAGGAGAGCCCAACCTCACATATTTCCAGCTGGGGCCTCAGAGAAGAATGTTGTACAGTCATTTCAGGCTTGCCTCCCTAGCCCCAAGTTATAGGGCATCTTTCTCTCTCTCCGTCAGTGTTTTCAGAGATCCACCGGAAATACCAGTCAATGAGTGCTCTGCAAACCCTTGCCCCCCGGGTCCTGTCAGATGATTAGGATGACAGCTCATCTATGCCATCTAATCCTGTCCTGGACCTGAAAGGCGGTAGGCCTGGTGGCCCTGCACACTCACTCGCTCTGACTGGGAAGCAGGATCCGGACTCTCCTGGCCCTCACACTGGATCTCTGTGTGACCCTGGAGAAGCCCTCAGCCTCTCTGGGGCCTCAGCTTCCTCATTTATAAACAAGGCAGTTGGACCCTATGACCTAGAAGGTTTCTCCTGTGACCCCTGGAGTGCTCCTGCTTTCTCCCCAGTCCTCCCCTCACCAAAGGCTAGCTGCGGAGGGGCCATGGATAAGAAGGCTCCTGGCATCCTTCTCTTTCCCCAGGAATCAGGAATCAGACCCAGTTAAGAGCACCTGTGCTCTCAGCCAAGTGCTTGCTATTAGGAGTACAAGTGCCAAAGAGGAGCCTGCTGGCCAAGAATGCACGGGGTGGTCTGGGGTTAAAAATGGACACAGCTGCCTGTCCTGTCCGAGGCACATCCTGGGAGGGAAGCAGTCTAAATAAAACCTTACTGGATTCCCAGCAGTTCTTTGCAGATGGGAGCCCAGGAATGTTGTGGAGCTAACCTAGTCGTGGGGGCCCCCAATGTGCCTACTAGGGCTCAGGTTCAGCTAGGGTAGAGGGAAGAGAAAGTGGCAGAAGGCAGGCGGGTGGGGGGGGGGGGACGAAAACTTCCTGAATGAGGATGAACTATTAGAAACCGAATGAGATGCAGAACACATTGTTTATGCGCACACTAAAAATACACAGGCATAGAACAGCGATGCATACATTAAAAAGGCACACCTTAATGAGATGTCTGGGATTTGTTTCAAAAAAATATGTTGGGGGGAGAGAAGAGAGGGGTAGGTATCGATGAAACAGGATTGACCATAATTGGGCAACTGTCGCGCCTAGGTGGTGTGTGCACGGAAATTAATACGCTGTTCTGTCTTTGTATTTGTTTGTGATTTTTCATAACAAAAAAATATTCCCAAACACGTTAAAATGGATGTTTATGGGAATGGGAATGGGGAGTGAAGGTAAAATGAACAGATGAAGGAAGTACAGCAGGGCAAGCCCGGCGAGGGGAGGGAGGTCTGAGGGAGGCAGGGATGGCAGGTGGGGAGTGAGGTGGGGCGCCTCTCCCGGTCCACCTGCTGAACCCCACCCAGAGGATCGCAGCATTCCCAAGCCAGTGAACCTTGGCAATAATCCATGCAGTCCTCGTTTCCTGGTGAGCAAACCAAGGTGCTGAGAGAAGCGAGTGGCTTGTCTGTGGCCATGCAGACCACGGTAGGACCAGAGTTAGCCTAACACCCAGGTCTCTCTGCCCTACGCCCTTCCTAAAACACAACGGAAAAAGAAAACAAAGACCGTGGCTTTGCAATCAGCCAGACCTAACTCCAAAGCCCACCTCAGATCCTGTGACCGTGGGCAACCTGCCCAACCATCCGCTGCCACATGGGAGTAACAGCTGAGAGCCGAGGGAGCGTGAGCATGACAAGCACACAGGCCCTGCCTGGGATCCACGGAGGCTCCAGGGGGCTCCGAGAATGTTAGCTCCTCCCTTCCCTCAGCAGAGACCGTGACTTTGTATCCTTACTGCTAGAGAAAGTGAGTCCCCGCCACAATTTCTAAAGAAAGGAAGCAGGCTCAGCCCGGGGCTCCCCTGAAGGAGAGGCCGCCCTCGGCCTCAGGCTCCTCCAGCGCCGCTGTGGGCATCGGCAGGTGCCTCTGTGCGCGCCCTCACCTCTGCCATCTGGGAGAAAGTGCTCTGAGCCTCCTGCACCCACGCTTGGTGGCTTTGTCGTCTCCGTTCCCTGCTCTCAGCTTCTGACGGCTCTTCCCGAACGTGCTCAGTTGCAGACACCAGGACCTTCTCGTACTCCTGAGACCCACTGGGCTCCAGCTCTTGGATGGTGGTGACCGTACTCCGGAAGGAGTGTGGGCCTTGGGTGACCTCCTCTGGCCAGGAACCTTGGGCAGCATCTTGCAGGTACGAGACAATGGAGCCTTCCTCATCCCAGTCCTGCAGTCTGGGGCCCAGGAAGAGAGAAAGGACACCCGGTCACCCTTCAGTCTCTGGCTGCTCAGATACCCTCCTCCCCGCCCCCGCCCAGAGCTGGAGGGATGGGCCTGCGTGAGCAAATCCCACAGCCCGCACACGGCTGCCTGTCCTGTCCAGAGAGGCGCAGATGGTCCGTCCGTGCTGTCCAGGTGGAAAGGGCCATGAGGACCAGTACCACTGGCCCCATCCCTTTAAATGGATGGCTCTCCACCCGGGGCTCCTGAGGCACTTGGCTCACCCAGCTGGGTGTCACCGGGTCTGCACGCCCGTCACCTCACCGCCTCCCCTCCAGCCCTCCAGGCCACCTGCCCTCCACAGTCCTTATCCTGGCACTCGTCCAATAAGGTGGCCACTCTCTCCCCTGGAAACATGCTCTTCTCTGGCTTCCAAGACACCACATTTGCCTCGTTTCCCCACACCCTCTCTGGCTACCACTTCTCAGTGTCCTTTGCTGGTTTCTCCTAATTTCTCTGACTCCTGAACACGGGAGCACCCCAGGGCTCCGTTCTCAGACCTCATCTCTACCCGCACCCACAGTAAGCTCATTCAGTCCACGGCTTCACACCCCATCTGTGTGCTCCGCGTGCCCCGGTGTGCACACAGCACCTCTTCCTTGACCGACTGCCTCCGCACATCTCTGCTTTGGGGGTCTAATAGGCCTCTCAGGGATAGCACAGTCAAGTCCACACTTACGGCCTTCTCCCCAGCCTGTCCCGCCCAGCCTCCCCCCACACTGCAGTATAGTATCTTCGTCCTTCCAGTGGACAGATCGAGGGTACCAGTAAGCTCTGACGTCTCTCGGTCTCTCACACTCCACGTCTTGTTTGTTCAGTGAACCTTCTGGTTTAGCTTTCAAGTATATATCCTGAGCACAGTCACTTCTGGCCACCAGCACTGCTACCGTCTTGGTCCATACCAGCAGCAACGCTTGCCTCCTGGCTCATCTCCCTGCCTCGAGCCCTGGCCATGTCAGGCTGCTCTCAAGGCAACTGCCACATCACCTCACTCCTCTGCTCAAAACCCTCCGGTGGCTCCCCATTCCACCCAGTAAATGCCAAAGTCTTTCGTCTTTCTAGAGCCCCAAGGCCTGACATGTCTGGCCCCATTACCTCTCTCAATCACTCTGCTGTGATCAGTACCTTCTCACTGTTCCTCGACTGTGCCTACTGCAAGGCCTTTGTGCTGGCTGGGCCCTCTGCTGGTTACGTGCCCTTGGTGTTCACATGGCTCACCCCTCAATTTCTTCTGCTCTTTACTCCAACGTTGTGGTCTTAGGCTTCCCTCATTTCGGCCATCTCCTCTCCACACACTGTACATACGACCTATCTCCCCACCTTTATTTTCCTTTTTAGCACCAACACCTAACTTTTCCCTTTTCTTCTTGGGGGGGGGGGGGAGAGGGGCAGAGGGAGGAGAGAGAGAATCTCAAGCAGGCTCTATGCCCAGCATGGAGCCCAACATGGGGCTTGATCTTACAACCCTGAGATCGTGACCTGAGCCAAAATCAAGAGTAGAATGCTTACCAACTGAGCCACCCAGGGGCCCCTAACTTCTCCCTTTCAATTACTTTCCATTTCATTGGCTTTATCTCATTTATTGTCTGTTTCCCCACTAGAACATAAACTTCTTGCAGATGGAGGCTTTTGTCTATTCTGTTCAATGCTACATTCCCTGCACCGAGGCACGGTTCACAGGTGCCTGGCACACAGTAGGCGCTCCATACATACTGTTGGGGGAGTGAACGAAATTCACCTGTCCCCACTGGAAGGCTGACCGCGGTCAGAGAACCAAACTGTACCACACTGAGGCCTAGCACCAGGCCTTCTGGCTCCCCCCTGCGAGGCCAGGCTCCTCGTGGTGCAGCGGCCGGGCCAGCATGCAGTGTGCGCAATGCGCGCCCAGTCAGTCCTCCTCAGTGACTGGCTGTCCCAGGCTGTTGGGGGGTGGCCTTGGCCACAGGGATGCCACCGTTTCACTCTGAATCCCCACAGGCCCTGTCCATCTAACTCTCGCTGCTCATCAAAGGATTCGTTTGGGAAATGAAAATGAAATGACATAAATCCTTGCTCTCTCATCTTGTAAATGATCTTCTTTCCCTCCGCCTAGGGTATTCGGGCCACACTGGATGGACCCCGGGGAAGGGCCCAGTCAGCCTGGGCTTCTGAGAGGGCCAGAGGAACTGGGCGGGGGGGGCGGTGTGGGAAGAGGAAATGAGAACAGGTTGCCCGAGGCCTGGCCAGACCTGAGCCACGCGGGTATGGTGGGTGTGCACAGCCTTCAGGGGGCACACGGACCATCTCCTTGCTTTAGGGAAACTTTAGGAAGCAATTTTGGGGGAAAGGGCCACTGCGGCTCAGCTCCTATGCCAGCCCAGGGAGGCCAAAGTCGTCCCCCGCACTCCACCCAGCCTCGGGGGTGTGGTTCCCCCCACCCCCGCCACAGAGGTGAGTCGGGCCTGAGGCCCAAGACCCTCAGTGTCTCCCCGCGTGGCTGCCTGCTGCAGGCCCAGGAGTGGCCCAGGAGAGCACCAATCTCTCCACAGTGGAGAGCTCTGTCCTGCGCCTACTAAGCCCACCAGCCTTACACTTCCAACGGGGTAAAGCAGAAGGGCACCATTATCAGCTCTGTCACACGCAGGCTGTGTGACTGCCTGAGTCACTCCCCTGGGCCCTGGTGCCTCTAGGTTTCTAAATATGGTCTTCCCCAATAAGCACCCAATAACGACAGGGGCCCAGAGCACCTACCCTCAGCTGCACTCGAAAGAGGTGGCTGTCCTGAGCCTTATAACTTCTCTCCTCATGCCCTCCCCTGTGCCAAGCCCCCTGCCCCCAGCCTCTCTCTGGCAGGCCACACCCGGGGTGGGGGGCATCTTGGGTGACTACTGGCCTTTGCAGATCACAGCTCCACGCCCACAGGACAGAGGCCTGAGCGACGACGGCTCCCGGGCACTTAGGACGCAGCACCTACCAATTCCCTCTGTGCTCCCCGTCAGCCACAATCTCCCCCGAAGCCCGGGAAGACAGATCCTGCCCCGGCAGCCCAGCCCTTACCTGTCCTGGCGCAGCTCCACCGCCCGACTCCCGCTGGGGGACTCTGTGATGCGGGCTTGCGCCCTCTGCTGGCCTGAAACAAGAGACACTTCAATCTCTGAGTCCTGCCCTGCACCTGTGGAGTCCTCCTGCCTCTCATGACCTGGCAGCTTCTCTTCTGACCTCTGACCTTCTTCCTGGTCAAGCAAATCGATAAGGCCATTTATGGCATCTGAATCCACTGTGTCGTCCTCCACGAGGTCCAGAGAGCCCAGCGTGGGGCCCTGGGGTCCCTCGGAGAGCACCCCCTCCGGCTTCCACTCGTGGCCGGTGGTATCCAAGTCCTCAGCTTTGCTGCACTCCAGAGAGGAGTCCTCAGCAGTGACCAGAGAGGGTGTGAGGCCCGCGGACCACACCTGCATGTCAGACATCTCCAGCATGGCGTCATGCTCCGTGGCCGCCAAAGGGATGGCGTCTATGACGGCCACCTCGTTCCAGTACTGGTCTGCACGCAGCGGAGAGGGAAGCGCGTAGTGCAGGGAGGCAGGGGACAGCAGCTCGTCCTGCAGCGAGGAGTAACCTGGATGGGCAGACAGAGGGCAACATGCTCCAGAAGCGATTTCTGTCACACACACTTACGTGCAAATCCACGCACACACACACGCACACACAGGCACGGCCATAGATATGCATGCACATTCCGGGTAGGGAGGCTTTCCAAGCTCAGTGTCTAATGCTCAGGCCTGTGGCCGCTGCCCAGGGCAAGGGGGCAGGAGAAACAAGGCTCTGGGGTGGGCAGGGGACAGCCGGGAAGTGGGAGCGGAGAACAGGGCTCCTTTGCTGAAATGGCAAAGAGCCTGGAATTCTTTCTTATCCAGTTCAGAGCACTAGATCAAGCAGGCTTGCTCCGAAGGATCTGTGCTCCAATCTGTCTCCAACCAGATGAAAGCCCACTTCTTGATGTCTGGGCAGAAAGAAATGTTGCTCTTTCTTTGCTCAAAACATCCCTTTAGCACAGTCCTTGGGGTAACCAGCCAGGGATGTCCCTTCAAGGGAGGGAACAGCACCCCCCTAGATCTGGGGCCAGTAACCAAGCTGCCTTGGAGGGGCCTGATGGGGTACACCGAACGCCCACCCTCCGTGCGGTGGTCAAATGGGAAACCACTTGGTTCCAGATGAAGTCACTTTTCCTCAAGTTGCAGACTGGTTCTGGAAACTCTGAATGATCTAAAGTGGCATGAGTGAGCATCCTAAGGGTTCAGAATAGGGGGCCAGGTCAGAGGGCAGCAGGAGGTACCAGGCCCATCGCGGCTGCGTCGGTGCTGTCCCGGGAAGCTCCTGGCCCGCAGGCCCTGCCGGCCCCAGCTCAGTGGTGAGCTGGTGGGACTGCGGTCAGTGAGCTCAGGCCCCCACAGGCCTGGCCCAGGGGTCACCGTGGCCTGTTCATGCATCTGTCCCTTGCGACTGGCTCAGATACGCGTCCCTGCTAGTTTTCTGCTTGGCTCTGGCATGGGCTCCCTCATGTTCAGAAGTGACTCGGAGCCTGAGTGAGGGGCACATGTAAGTGCATGAGGAATTGAGTGCAAGCCGAATGGGCAGTGTTCCGTCAGTTGGCTCCTCCGCTCTCCTCTAGCCAGGAGTGGGGGGGTCTGTGGGTAGGGCAAAGAGGGCCTCTGACTCCCCTTCAGAGTTCGTGCCAATCTGTGGGTGGGAGAAAGGACCGGAAGACAAGCTTCTCCATTCAGTTCAGCTTAGCTGGGGAACCGGGGCCTAAAGACCTAGTAGCGCCAAAACAGGACCCCTGGGTATGGGCAAGGCCGCCCCTACAGTCTCTAGGGAATTTCCTGTGCCCAGAGAGGCCCCTAACTTAGCATCCAGACTCTTCTTCCCGCCATTCACCGCCTCCCCGCCGCCACCGCAACCAGCTCTTCCCAGGGCTTGGCCTTTCTCCCACACAGATGGACCCTCCTCATCCCCAGGCTGGACACAGCTCCGGCTCTCTCACTGCTTCTCTACTGGAGACAAACCTGTCTGTGGCTATCCTCATTCACTCACTTGTTCAACCCAAAGATACTAACTGAGGGCCACTTACATGCCGGGGACTGTGCTAAAGGATTGAGGATTACAAACACACGAATGCACACTAACAAGGCAGGTTCTCTTCACCCTCTGCTTTCTTGACGTTTTCCCAGTGACTTCCGCTCACCTCGTTTCCCCCCCATCTTTGAACCGTCCTGTGTTCCCTTGTTAAGCTGGTTCGTGGGACAGTGCACTCTTTGAGGGCAGGGATGTTGTTTCCCTCTCCCTCCCACTTTCCTAGAACAGGATTGGGACTCCATAGGCCCTGGTGACTACTGCAGAACTCTCCAGATGGGTGAGGAGGACATGGGAGCCAGAAGAGATGACCTCAGCCACACTTAGTAAAAACAAAATCGCTGATTTACGTATGTGTCCCAGGTGCCAGAAACCATGCTGTATGATTGACATACAACCTCTCTTCATCATCCCAGGAGAGTTTTCTTCCTGACCGATCTCTATAAGTCTCTGTGGTTCCGGGGCCCACAATGAGATGGGGGAGGAGGAGACCATCAGGTGCCGGGTGGCTGGGAGGGTAGCACTGTGCTTGCAGGCTAACAGCTCTGGCCAAACGAGGAGGAACAAAGAAGAGGTGGAAGAGTAGGAGAAATGGGTGGGCCAAATCTTCCTGTGTTAAATCCAAATCACTGTATGTGGAAACTCGACCTAAAGAATTGGGAAACCAGGGTCAATGGCCTTCAACCCCTCCATGGAAATCTCTACAGAATATATGTGAGCCGAACATTTGAGAGTCAAGTGATTATTTTTCTTATTCCCCCCCTTTTTTTAAAAAAAGATTTTATTCATTTACTTGAGAGAAAGAGCAGAGCGAGAGAGAGCACATGAGCAGGGGGGGCAGAGGGAGAGGGAGAAGCAGGCTCCTCGCTGAGCAGGGAGCCCGACTCGGGGCTCAATCCCAGAACCCTAGGATCATGACCTGAGCTGAAGGCAGATGCTTAACCGACTGAAACACCTAGGCGCCCCTCTTCTTATTCTTGAAGGCATTATTATATTGTTTCCATTACTAATTAGGCATCTATTTTGTAAAAAAAAAAATACCTAATATGTTATTTTTAGTTGTCACAACAACCCTACAAGGAAAGCAATATTTCTCCTACTCTATAGATTAGCAAACTAGAGGTTCAAGAACTGGCTCAGGGCACACAGTAAGAGTGGTCTTGTCACGAGATTTTGCCATTAGTATCTTTTAAAATTGCTTTATTGAGGTATAGTTGACATACAGTAAGTGCACATATTTTAAAGTAGATAATTGGATAAGTTCCAAGAAACCATCACCACAACGAAAAGAGGGATATTCATCGCCCTTGAAAGGTGTCCTCATGTTTCTTTGCAATCCTTCCTTCTGCGTCCCCGTTCCCATGTACCCACTGATCTGCTTCTGTCACCGTACATTAGGTTGCATTTCCCAGAACTTTCTATAAATGGACTTAGACCGTGTATACTCTTTTCTGCCTGGTTTCTTTCACTGGGCCTAGTGATTTGGGTATCACCCATGCTGTTGAATTCATCGATGATTTATCCATTGTTGCCGCTGAGCTGTATTCCTTTAGGTGGATACATCACAGGTGGTTCATCCATTCACCTGTTAATGCACATGTGAGTTGCTTCCAGTTGGGGGCTATTACAAATAAAGCTGCTTGTCCGTGTGAACATATGTTTTTTTCTTTTGGGTACACACCTAGGAACCAAGTGGCTGGATCACAGGATAGGTGTATTTTAACTTCTCAAGAAGCAGAGTCTTTTCCAAATTGGTTGTCCCGTTTTACATTCGCACCAGCAGTGGATGAGAGGGCCAGTTCCTCCCTATCCTCATTGACACCTGGTATGATTGGCCTTTTCCATTTTAGCCATTCTTACGGGGGGTGGGGGGTCGTGGGATCTCCTTGTAGTTTTAATTTGTATTTTCCTAATGACTAACAATGCTGAGCATCTTTTTATGTGCTTATTTGCCATCTGTATCTCTTCTAGGTTAACTGTTCAAATTTTCTGCTCCCCTAAAAACTGGACTGTTTGTTTTCTTACTGAGTTTTGAGAGTTCTTTATATATTCTATTTTTTTTGAGAGTTCTTTATATATTCTAGATACAAGTCCTATATCAGACGATTATTTCCAATATTTTCTCCCAATCTGTAGCTTAATTTTTCACTTTCTTAACAATGTATTTTGAATAGCAAAGGTTTTTTAAATTTGGTGAAGCCCGATTTATCATTTTTTACAGATTACACTTTTCGTGTCGTAGCTAAGAAATCTTTGCCTTAACCAAGATTTCTAAGGTTTTCTTTTATGTTTCCTTCTAGAAGTTGTAATAGTTTTATGTTTATTTCTAGAAGTTTTTATGTTAGGTTTTACATTTAAGCTGCCATCCACTTTGAGTTAATTTTTGTGTGCTGATGCAAGGTATGAATCCAAGTTCAGTTTTGCTTATGAAAATCCAATTGTTCCAGCCCCACTTGTAAAAATTACCCTTTCTCCACCGAATTGCCTTTGCACTTTTGTTGAAAATCAGTTGTTCATATAGATGTGGTTCTATTTCTGGACTCCATTCTGTTCACTAATTTATCCACCTTTTGTTGTTGTTGCTGTTTTTTTTTTTAAGTCAGGAATGGATATTGGATTTGTCAAATACTTTTTCTGCATCTATTGTGATAATCATATGGTTTTTCTTTTTTAGTTTGTTAATCTGATGGATTACATTGATTTATTTCTATTCTTTTAAATTTATTAAGATGTGTTTTATGACTCAGAATATGGTCTATCTTGGTGAATGTTCCATGTGAACTTGAGAAAAATGTGTATTCTGCTGCTGTTGGATGGAAGTAGGCTGTAGACGTTAGTCACATCCAGTTGATGATGGTCTTGTTGAGTTCAACTGTGTCCTCACCCATTTTCTGCCTACTGGGTCTGTCCATTTCTGACACAGGGGTGCTAGAGTTTCCAACTCTGATACTGGATTCATCTGTTTCTCCTTGCAGTTCTCTTAGTTTTTGCCTCCCATAGTTTTATGCTCTGTTGTTAGGCACATACACGTTAAGGATTATTATGCCTTCTTGGAGAACTGACCTCTTTATCATCATGTAATGCCCCTCTTTATCCCTGATAACTTTCTTTGCTTTGAATTCTGCTCTGTCTGAAATTAATATAGTTTCTCATGCATTCTTTTTTTTTAAAGATTTTATTTATTTATATGACAGAGAGAGAGAGACAGCAAGAGAGGGAACACAAGCAGGGGGAGTGGGAAAGGGAGAAGCAGGCTTCCCGCCGAGCAGGGAGCCCGATGCAGAGCTCAATCCCAGGACCCCGGGATCATGACCTGAGCCGAAGGCAGTCACTTAACCAACTGAGCCACCCAGGCGCCCCTCTCATACATTCTTTTGATTAGTGTTAGCATGGTATATTTTTGTCCATCCATTTACTTTTAATCTACATGTGTCTTTATATTTAAAATGGGTTTCATGTAGACAAGATGTGGTTTTTGATGCGTTC